TCTTTATTATTCAGATAAGATAAAAATTCATCAAGTTTTTGTTCGCCATGACTGTAAATGGAGAATACGTCATCAGTATAACGCCACCAAATTATTGGTTTAAATTTATAATTATTAATAAAAGTTGATTCAAAATTTTCCATAAATAAATTACTAAAAAATGGGGATAGTGGTGACCCCATAGCCATTCCAAAATTTTGTTGATAAAAATTGTCATTGTATTGAAAGTAAGTTGACTTTACACATATTGTTAAAAGTTCAATAATGGTGTTAAGCTTAGTTGTGTGCGTTCTTTAAGATTGGTGTCATTTTGTAATTTTTGTTTGATGATAATTAAAGTTTTATCAACAGGAACGTTAGTGAATAGACTAACAACATCAAAACTTACTAGAATATGGTTTGGATTTATGTCTATGTCTGATAATTTTATCTTTTGTATCTTTTGCTCTTTTTGTCTGTCGCCTTACTGGTCGATTCCTGTTGTGTGTTTGGTCGCCATCGTCGTCTTGATATCATCATCAGACAATTTCTTTGACTGTTCTTCCAAACGGCGAAATTTGCAGCAGTTCGCTTCAATGTTTTGCTTAAATGCGACATTTTCTGAAAGCTCGAGTGCCTACTTTAGTGAACTTTAGCAATCAGTTGATCAGTAGTTGCCGCTTTTCTATCTTCAAAAACGTTCGTTTTCTCCGAACAAATCACTGGCGCAATTTAGAGCCTTTACAAGAAAGGTGATTGTTGCACATTTTAAGTAATTTTAAGTAAGCACATTTAAAAAAACTACCCGGAAATCGGCTGTAGTGCATGATTGCATGATTGCGGTTGTAATTTTTCATAAAAAAATATGAAAATCCCCCATATAATCGTGAATAGCCAATTGAATAAACCGCTAGTCTGAAGTTCGTGGAAGCTTATAAATATGAACCATTGAAAATTCAAGAGTTAACTTCTTGAACTGTGGAATAAGAAAAGCTCGTTATTGCGGCCTGCATAATTTGTCCCTTTGAGTATGTTTATTATCAGTGGAATGGCGCTGGAAGCAAGCAAGTGGCACCCGAAACAGTCATCTGGATAATTCGATCAGCCACTCTTAATGGACTGTGAATGGGGAGATAGCTTGTTGTGCCGAGGCGCTAGTTTTTCCTGGAAAATCGTGCCACCGGTGGAAAGTTTATAGATCGGAGGGCGTGCGAAAAGCGATACTTTCAGAGGGACGGGCCGAGGACGTGGAAAACTCGATGCTTTGCAGGAAACATAATTAGCCGTAATTGAGACTCCGACATTATTGCCTTTTAATGCGAGTTCTCCTTAATTCCAGGATTTGGAAGGCGACACACCTCTGCATGATGCAATATCGAAAAAACGCGATGATATGCTGACGCTGCTTCTGGACCACAGCGCTGACATTACGCTGACTAACAACAATGGATTCAACGCTTTACACCATGCGGCTCTTCGTGGAAATCCAAGGTAAGTTTTTCCCATTTACTTGCATTTTTCGACATTTTTTAACGCTCAAGTACGACTACTAAAAATGAATGAAACTGGTTTGGACAAAAAATTTAATCAAGAGGTGTATGTATTTCCTAGGCCTGAGTTATAACTCATCGCGAATCACTGCGCCGCACCTCGAATTGCGCTTGTGGCGGGATAATTCTTGAAATCAGTTTAAAGATAATTTTTTATTAGTTGAAATTTCGTTGTTGTTTCTATCATCGCTTGGAAATTGAGCAGCAGTTTCATTTTAAAGTGAGTTCTTCGCGGTGTTTTTGTTTAGTCAATATTTTTCGAAACACATTTAATTCGGTTATTAATTTCAGTTTTCAGTGAATTTCAGCCGATTTAAGTGGCTCTAAATTTAAAAGTAAATTAGTGAAAGATCGGCATTGGGGGCGTTTTTCGTTTAGTTGTTGTTCACTGTCGTTAAGTTGGAACGTGAAATTTTCGTTTCGAAATATTTTCTCGTTATCGAATCGCATTCTTCGATTGGAAATATAGAAGCATCATGGCAAGTGCGGTAGTTTGTGAAAGTGTAGTGAACTTCTTGAGGATTAATGGGTACAAAAGGGAGGATGGGGCGCCAACTGGAAAAACCTATTCATTTACATAGTGTTAGAGTTAGGCAAACTGAAAGGAAGAAACCGAAAGGAAAGGAAACTGAACCTTAAAGTTCGGTTGAACAAAAACCACATATTTAAGTTTCTGTGGAATATGATTTTTTGCGAATTTGTCTGGACTTTTCTGGAAAAGGTGCAAATACAAAATTGACAATAGTGTCAGCTGAGTTCGAAGTTTAATTTTATCAAAATATTAAAAAATATTTTTTTCTACCGTCATGGTGGTATATCGCTATCCAAATAGTGCCTATTTTGTGTTGGCGGTAATCTACAGTCATTGATGGCGAGCTC